AAAAGCAAGCTAGAAAGCTCAAGATAGAATGAGGGGGCGGGAAAGTGCACAGCACCGCAGTCCAAGGCACAAGCAAGCTAACACAGCTTGAAGAAGCCAATTCAACATGGTCTGAGTGGAAGAAATCAGATTCAGTAAGTGAAGCTTGAGGGGAACTTGGGCATGAAGTCCATATTTTTAAGAGCAGGAAGCAGTGCCTAGAGGGAAAGTTACAGTTGATGTGATTGTAATTTACTTATTGATTTCTCAAAAACTTTATCAGAAAATAATGTCAAATATACAGAAAAATTTCAAGAATAGTATTAAAAAGATACTGTTTATGCAGATTCACCTGTTGTACTTCATTGTGTCCTCTTGGTCACTCATATATCCAGCTTTTTTCCCTATATGGATTTGAGAAAACTTACATACTGTAAAGTACATCCCATTCTTTACTCTGATAATTGCAGAATACTATTTTTCCCAATTTTATCATTTCTTCTACATTTACCAACTAGCAGTCATATTTTGTTGTAAAGACGTTCTGTCTTTCCAATTTTTATCTGTATGGTGTTATTGAAATCCTATTTTTAGTAGTCTATAATCCATTACTGTGTTATCTTAGATACCTGAGTTGAGTGTTCAAGTTGGCTCCTGTAGTCTTGTGCCATTCCCCATCATATTTTTGAACCCCTCCTTATTTACTGGTGTCCCAGCTCATCTTATGCATATCCTGTTTCCAATCTAGGATCAGCCATTTTTATAAGGATTTTGGTATCTTTTATCAGAGAATAGTGATAGAACACTAGAATAGGCTATGCTCATTACCACTGAGGTGCTCTTGATTTTGACTTTTTAGCAAACTGAGCTAAGGAATATATGTACACATGCATACCTGTACATAAAAGTGAATATATGCATTCATATAAATGTGCATTCACACATATATAATGTAAAAAGGATGAGTTCATACAAATTCTCCAATTCCTTGCCACAAAGTTTCTTGCCTTTTACTATAGTAGTTTAAATTTTTATCTTTTCTGCATCCAGGAGAACCCTATCCCAACAAAATAGTACATTTACTTAGAATTGCTTTGTCTATACTACTAGAGAAAAGAAACCTGCTAAAAATAGTTTTTATTTGCAATTCTTACACCTCCTAGCTTTCCCAAGACTGAATGTACAAATATATGTTTCTAAAATACAGGCCTGTTTCTATTTGTTTGTTCTGGTCCGTGGTTTTGGTAGCCACATGAAACATAAGTGAGTATATTTGTTTCTGTTACTTTCCTGTTTTATCAGTTCCCTCTTGTTTATCCTTATTGATTTAATCTTACTCTTTGAATATGCTGAACATTGCTTCCACAAGTAAAAGGGAGACAAAAAGCTGTACTCAAGAATGTTTCTTCCTTTTTCCTTCTGTTTTTTTCTAACCCCACCCCTTTTAAGTGGCAGTTATTTTCTGGGGCTATTTTAAAGATAAAATTTTTTTTTTCTTTCTTATACAAAACTAGCATAGTACTACAGTTTGTATATGTACCTAGTTTATTTAACTGGTTCTCTGTGCTTGGGTATTTAGGTAGTTTTCCAGATTTTGCAGTTACAAATAGTGCTATAATGATATCTTTGTGTATTGTTGGAAGTATATCTTAAGTATAAATTTCTACAAGTGAGACTTCTGGATTGAAGGAGAAAAAATTTAGTTTTGTTAGGTAGCAGGAAATTCTGTGCTATAAGGGGGTTTTGCCAATTTGCGTTCCTAACAATAAATTAGAATACTTGTTTCCTCCACAACCTCTGCCATTGCCAAACTTTAAATATTTGTCAGAGTGACAAAGGACAAATAGTATCTTACTTATATTTCTCATTAGCAAAGTTGAATGTCTTCATGTTTAGTACTTTTTGTCCATTTTTTTGGCTTGTTTTTCTATGAGGTATTTAGTCTTATTTCCCTTCAGTGTTTGAAAATCTTGTATGTATGTATGTATGTATGTATGTATTGCATTTACTAGGATTGAATCTAAGTCCTTAGCACTGAGCTCCAACTCCAGCTTTTTTTTTTTTAAAGATTTTTTTTGATACAGGACCACTTTAACTTATGCAGCCTAGGCGTGGACTTGTGATCCTCTTGTGTCAGGATCTCAGAGTACAGGTATTACAGGTGTTTGCCACCCTGTACAGCTTGAAAATTCTTTATATGCCAAGAATATTGGCCTTTTATTTATATATCAGGAATGTGTATCAGAATGTGTGATGTAAATATTTTTTTCACTTTGTCATTTATTTGTTGATTTTGTTTATGGTATTTTTACCATAGAATTTTATTTTTATTACTGTAACATTGGTCTTTAATTGCATCTGGATTATAGTTAAAAAGCTTTCTCTATACTCAGGCCATGGTAGTATTTACCTGCATTTGCTTGGAGTACTTGTATAATTTTTTTTCTTAATATTTAAAGCACCATCCCACTTGAAGTTTATTTCTGTGTATGCTGTGAAAAATAAGTCTAGTTTTTATCTTTTTCTATATAGTTTTAATAGTTGCAACACTATTAAATAATGACTGGCTTTTTCCTCAATAACATGAAAGACCATCTTTATCATTTGTTTCTATAGTTAGTGGGGACAATTGCTGAACTTTTCTATTTCATGTCTGTGTATCTACTACCATTTATATTATGTTTTAATATCTATTATGACTAGCTCTTGTTTTTTTTTTTTTTTGCTTTTTGCTTTTTTTTCCCTCAGCAATTTTTGTGGTTTATTTTAAGAGATTGATCTTATGACTGTAGGAACTTGAGTGTGCTTCTGTGCTGAGGGTCGAAGGTGAGTAGAAGTAGAGGGGCCAAAATAGAAAAGGAAATGGGTGGAACAGGGCTCCAGTTTGTGTGGAAACAGCATTCAGAGCACATTCACCTTTCATTTCATTTCATTTTATCTGTTTTATTTTATTTGGTTGGTTTTTTTTAATGCACCATCTTGCTATGTAATCCGAGGTGGCCCTGAGCTCACTGTGTAGTCTAGGATGATTTCAACCCAGCAATTCTGTTTCAGCCTCCCACATGCTAAGTTACAGGCATGTACCACCACAACCAGCTACATTTATTTACTTTCTATATCAGTGTGTTGCTGCTAATACTTCTATAGTTCCACTGCCCACTCAGAAGTTCTCATTTCAGTGGACTTTGCCCAAACTAATAAAGGGAGGTAGGCCATACTTCTATTCCTCTGTGATCTCTGATAACTTTTTTTGGTAATAGTTAAATACTTGCATCATTTTGTGATATTCTTTCAGCTGAACCATTTTTTTGGTAGTCAGATATCTCCTGAGTAATTATTTGATGTTCCTGAAAGTTTCCTGAGCTCTAGTTGCTTTCTTGCACTGTAATTTTAATTTGGAGTACATTGTTCCCATAAACATAAGTTGGATCATTTTGGTTTTAAAAAATATATCTACTCCAAACTATGCATTGTACTTTATTTTTAATTGCCCCTGTTTCTTGCTCACTTATTTGCATATAAAGTTTCTAAACAGGATTAACAGAATTTCAGAGTATTGATCCAAAGTATCTGATAGCCAGGGTAAGAGATCAAAATTTTAAGTAAGTTTACTCGAAAATGTTTCATTGTCTGCTGTTGGGGATAGCTAACTTAAAACAGTTTCTTATTGTCTCAGGATTCAGTTTGTCAGTGGGAGAATGATGATGTAATGTTAGTTATGTATAAAGTATCTTCAAGGAATCAGAGTTTTTTAGCTTGGGGCCTAAAATCCGCTCTGGGAAGTCACATGATTTTCTGAGTCATGTGCTTTATCCCTAAATTTCGACTATGACCCAATAACCTGATCTTCCATTCTTAATTTTAATACTATAGTAAATAATATACTTGAAAATAAGTAGCGCTTAGTAAGAGACAGGTATTGTTCTTAGTGATTTTACATGTGTTATGATTTAATATTCAGCAGTCCCAGTTAACCCTTGCTGTGCATGGAGATTGGTTCCAGAACCCCACAAATACCAAAATCTGCTGATGCTCAAGTCCCTTATATAAAATGGCATAGTATTTCCATCCTATGCACTTCTATTGTATTCTTTAGCTAATCTCTAGATTACTCGTTATGCCTCAAACATGCCTGTGTAAATCTCATACTATAGTTTTTAGGGTGTAATGACAAGGTAGAAGTCTACGTGGAATTCTGTTTTTCTGAAAAATTTTCATCCATGATTGGCTGCTTTCATGGATATAGACTACAGATACAGCGGGCCAACTGTACTTTCTTTGCTTAATAATTTGTCTTTGATATGCTATTAGGCTGTTCGTAAGTGAGAATGGAAGCTTTGTTCCCTGGCAGTTGGAGTATGTTCTTCTGTGTAGAGCTCTTCCCTAACTATAATACATACTTTTCCATTGTCAGTGTTTTTCCTGGAGGGGAAGTCCAGAAGGCCAAACCAGTTCACTTCTAGGTAGTTGCAGGTTGCTTTTCTTCTTATCTCAGCAGTGAATGTCTTCATGATTTCATAACCACAACTACTCCATCCCAGTATCTGTTCACATGTTAATTTCTTGTATTTGCCTGCTCTTTGCTGTTTATGTATAATTTTACATAATAAAAAGTTATGCTTAACTTCTGTCTTAATAATCTTTCTGTCTCTTGTTTTTCAGAGATTTCTTCCTGTTTATTTTTCTGTGAGTAGGTGACATTGTTCAATAGCTTGTTCAGTGTTATCTATGGTTCTCTACATCATTTAACCCATTTTAGCTTATCCAATGCTAAGCTGTTATATAAGAATAGAAAAATTCTTTTGTCATTGGAAATTTAGGGTTCTAGTGTTTTAACATTAACTTCATAATAGGGCAGAAGTTTTATGCCCACCCTTATATCCCCAGTAATTAAAAATGTACCTACCCCATAGCATGCGGTTAATAAGTATTTATCAAGTGGATGAGTAGAATTTGATATTACTCTTAAAATATTTTCTAAATGAAGTAAACAGGTTCCATTTTTCATTTTTTTGGTTTAGTGTCACATTTGAAGATGAGCACTGAGGATGAAGAAACAAATGAATATGTTGGAAATCCAGAGTATAAGTGGCTAAAAGTGGAAGGTCTTCACAAGGATCATAGGCAAGAATCAAAGATGGGTGAAGCTTGTGATTGGGATAGCAAGGTAAAGAATCCACTGGAAAAGCCCAAGGGGAAAAGAATGAAGGAAGACCTACGTGGCATCATAGAAAAGATAAGTAAAACTAAGAACATGGCAAATATAAAGACAGAAAAGGAAGATGAAGCATCTGAGAAAAGCTTACACTTGAGCTCAAAGCCTGTTACCAGCCAGACTACTCCTACAGAACAGAAAAACAATGAACAAAACAATTTTGTGGAGACTATTAATGGAAACTCTTACAGCAGTCTACAGCAGAAAACCAGTGCTGTTAAGAATTCACATAAATGTGATGAGTGTGGGAAATCCTTCAAATATAATTCCCGTCTCGTGCAACATAAAATTATGCACACTGGTGAAAAACGCTATGAGTGTGATGACTGTGGAGGGACTTTCCGAAGTAGCTCCAGCCTTCGAGTCCATAAACGGATCCATACTGGGGAGAAGCCGTACAAGTGTGATGAATGCGGGAAAGCTTATATGTCCTATTCCAGCCTTATAAACCATAAAAGCACTCACTCTGGGGAAAAGAACTGTAAATGTGATGAGTGTGGAAAATCCTTCAATTATAGCTCTGTTCTGGACCAGCATAAAAGGATCCACACTGGAGAAAAGCCCTATGAGTGTGGTGAGTGTGGGAAGGCCTTCAGAAATAGTTCTGGTCTCCGAGTCCACAAAAGGATACACACAGGGGAAAAACCTTATGAATGTGACATCTGTGGAAAAACTTTTAGTAATAGCTCTGGTCTGAGGGTTCACAAAAGGATTCATACAGGTGAGAAGCCCTATGAATGTGATGAGTGTGGAAAGGCCTTCATTACTTGCAGGACACTTTTAAATCATAAAAGCATCCACTTTGGAGATAAACCATATAAATGTGATGAGTGTGAGAAATCCTTCAATTATAGCTCTCTCCTTATTCAGCATAAAGTCATCCACACTGGAGAGAAACCTTATGAATGTGATGAATGCGGCAAGGCCTTCAGGAACAGCTCGGGCCTCATAGTGCATAAAAGGATTCACACAGGAGAGAAACCTTATAAGTGTGATGTCTGTGGCAAAGCATTCAGCTATAGCTCAGGCCTTGCAGTCCATAAGAGCATTCACCCAGGAAAGAAAGCCCATGAATGCAAAGAGTGTGGCAAATCCTTTAGTTATAACTCTCTCCTCCTTCAACATAAAACTATCCATACTGGAGAGAGACCTTATGTATGTGATGTGTGTGGGAAAACTTTCAGAAACAATTCAGGCCTCAAAGTCCATCGGAGGCTTCACACCGGGGAAAAACCATACCCGTGTGATGTGTGTGGGAAAGCCTATATCTCACGCTCTAGCCTTAAAAATCACAAAGGTATCCATCTAGGGGAAAAGCCCTATAAATGTAGCTATTGTGAGAAATCCTTCAACTACAGCTCTGCCCTTGAACAACATAAAAGGATTCATACCAGGGAGAAACCTTTTGGGTGTGACGAGTGTGGAAAAGCCTTCAGAAATAATTCAGGCCTTAAAGTACATAAACGAATCCACACAGGGGAGAGACCTTACAAATGTGAAGAATGTGGGAAAGCATATATCTCACTCTCGAGCCTTATAAATCATAAAAGTGTGCACCCTGGGGAGAAGCCCTTTAAGTGTGACGAGTGTGAGAAAGCCTTCATCACATACCGAACCCTTATAAATCACAAAAAAATTCATCTTGGTGAGAAGCCCTACAAATGTGATGTTTGTGAGAAATCTTTTAATTACACCTCACTTCTTTCTCAACACAAAAGAGTACACACTAGAGAGAAACCCTATGAATGTGATAGATGTGAAAAGGTCTTCAGAAACAACTCAAGCCTTAAAGTTCATAAAAGAGTACATACTGGGGAAAAGCCCTATGAATGTGATGTGTGTGGAAAAGCCTACATCTCACACTCAAGCCTTATTAATCATAAAAGTACCCACCCTGGCAAGACACCCTATACATGTGATGAATGTGGTAAGGCTTTTTTCTCAAGCAGAACTCTTATAAGCCATAAAAGAGTCCATCTTGGAGAGAAACCTTTCAAGTGTGTTGAGTGTGGAAAATCTTTCAGTTACAGCTCTCTCCTGTCTCAGCACAAGAGGATCCATACAGGGGAGAAACCTTATGTATGTGATGGATGTGGGAAGGCATTCAGGAATAGCTCAGGCCTCACAGTGCATAAAAGGATCCACACAGGTGAAAAACCCTTTGGATGTGATGAATGTGGGAAGGCATACATCTCACATTCAAGTCTTATCAACCATAAAAGTATTCACAGTGGAAATCAGCCCTATAATTGTGAGTGTGGAAAGTCCTTCAGTTATAGGTCAGTCCTTGACCAGCACAAAAGGATCCACACTGGAAAGAAGCCATACCGATGTAATGAGTGTGGGAAAGCATTTAATATCAGATCAAATCTCACGAAGCATAGAAGAATCCATACTGGAGAAGAATCTTTAAATGTGACAAATGTTGAGAGTCAGTGTAGCACATCCCAGATGAGAATCTATGAGGAAGGGATTGCTTTGGATGGGACCAGAATGAGGATGCCTCTGTGGGAGGTAGAGTTTACCAAGTCTCAAAGAACTCATATTGAAGAGAAACCATATGAATTTAAGAATTTCTGAGGTCCTAATTCACAGCTTATAATTATCATAGTATAAATGAAGCCATCCTAGATAATCATAAATAACCATTTCTGTGATTTTCACATATAGCCAGCAAAAGGCGCTAGTATTGTATCAAAATACTAAAAATAAGCAGATATTTTTGGTCCTAAAATAGGCAGATGAGGAAAGGACTCCAATTAGAATTTACGTAGTCACCATATGAACTATTTGAGTAAATTTTGTGAGTAGAAATGTAGGTAATTCAGGCATATCTTTGAATCCCAGTTATTACTCTGGTTAGGAAAAGGAAAACAATCGAAAAAGGACCTCAAAGCAACAGGCAAATTCAGGGAGAGATAGGCTTCAGGTAATAGAGATTTATTAGTGAATTATACACAGTGTAATTGAATAGTTTTGGGAGATGTATGACCACTCCTGAACCAAAATTTAGATTCCTTGTAGAAAAAAATAGTCACTCATTAAAAATACAAGTTGAAATTACTATGCTAATATTATACTTGAATGGGTGAGACTTTTTTAGTTTCAGATGAACTTCAATGAATAATGAATGCATGATACATGAAAACAGGTGGTATTCATACATTATAATAAATTGGCCTATCATGGAGGGGATTTTGGCACCTGTAATACTTAGTGGAACACATCTTCAGTGTGAATTTGCACCTTACAGAATTGATTCAGGGATTCCTGTGAGTGGGAATGTTGAACAGGATGGCATTTTATTATAAGAACTAAAATGCTAAGTACCTACCAGTAATTGAGAGAATAGGAAATCTGTTTCTTTATACTTCTGTTAAGTGTTTGGGAATTCAATGTAAAGATTTCTTGTACCATGTGTGTACTGTGTATTGTCTCTTGTAAAATATGAAGACTTTGTTCAGGGCTCAGTCTGTGTCTTGCCAGATAGTTGTGGCAAGATAAAGTGGAACTCCAATAAAGAAATTCTTTAAATGTAAACAAACTGTGACTTAATTTAGATGGAGCAGACTACAAAGCAATTTGTGTGCCATACCCTTGTGGAGTAAGTTATACCAGATCAATACCAGAGAAGGCAGCGGGAAATTCATCCCTCTTGGGTAGTACAGCTTTCATCAAAAGCTAGATGATACCTCATGTAGAACCATAAATGTATTTTGAGGGCTGTGATGGTCTTAATGGGAATGAATAGTAACTTGTGAAAGGCAAATCATATAAAGAATTGGTTACAAGAAACAGTTTCTCAGGAACAGATAGAATTTAACACCAAATACTGTTAAGTATGTAAAAGTGTTATCTAGGTAACCCAGATGCTTCAGGTAGACTCTTCTAAGTAACTTGTCCAAGACTACTGTGGGTAGGACTTATTAGTAGAGGTTGAATTCTCAATCTGCTTTCTGGCTTCATAATATCTTTCAGATAACATACTAGAAAATACTTTATTTCCAGCACATACGCACACACCCCACCACCAGTAGGTTTTGATGGTGGGGTGAGCAAGGGGAGAGTCTGCTATTCAGTTCCACTTGGGGAGGTCTTGATGTATTTGTCCTATGTCCACGTCTGCATGTAACACTGGTAAATTACCCAATCCACAGACTTGGTTAAATCTGCCAGACACAATCCACTGTCCTGGGTACAGTATAGAGACAGAATGAAAGCAGTAATACCTGGTATTTAAATGAGTGAAGAATGACACGCAAAACCACACTAAGATGTGTGAACTGACCTCTAGGTGTTCAAAGGAAAGTGACTGTAGCCAACCAAGAAGGATATGGGTATTAGGGACATTGAACTGTGTTTTGAGAGTGAAATGGGAAGTAGAACGGCCTGGTCAGAGAAGTCTGGTGTGCAGAAAGGAGAAAGCGGCAGAATATCCATTCCCAGTAGTTGTTGGGGTACAGATTGGTCTTCCATTTGCTCAAAAAGAGACCAGCTCTGACTTTTGTTAAATAATCATATTTCCTGAGGTCCCATGTGTTTTATGACTAGAGCAGTCAATATGCCTATAGCTGAAGACTATCCCTTCTTTTACACATATCCCTACCCCTACTTGAGCTCCTGGCGTACCTAATGCTCTGCCCTTTGAGGGGAAGACACATTAAGCACCCCAGTGTACTAAATGCAGGAGACGTGTCCCTACTACAGATATTCTCCATGTAATGACTGGGTTCCAGTCCTGATTAGATTGCTAATGAACTGGTTGCTAAATGAGGAGTTGCATGTAGTATGTACATTAAAATACTCAGAACAAAGAAATGGTCTAAGGACACTCCAGCTTGATAGCTGCTGTTATTTGCATAGCTTGTAGTCATGTGTAACTATAACATAAATGTATAACTATCACATAAAACTATGGTACTGTGTATAACAATCACCAAAAATTATAGCACTATACAAAAAAGATATACTGTACCCCAAAAAACATAACTGAAGCATTAGAAAAAGGTGTATAGAACTGTACAAAGAAAAAAGATAAGTCTGAGCAGGGATACTAAGTGCAAATAGCTCATCTTAACTGTGTTTTGTTTTTTGAGATAAGAGTCTCACTAGGTAGTTCAGGCTGGCTTTGAACTCACTGTGTAGCCCAGGCTGACCTTGAATTCATAGCAGTTCTCCTGCCTCAACCTCCTAAGACTTGGGAATACAGGTGTGAGCCACTACACCTGGCTGTACCTCAGTCATAAATTCAGACAGTTGTTAATAAATACGGGGTCAATAAATTAACATTTGTGTGGCTCTCACCTATTCACACACTCTAGAAATAGACCCAGCATCTCTTAGTCCCAGTCTCCAGTACAGGTAGGGCTAGATGCAATGCTGCGTGGGGGGATCCCACATATAGGCATCTTCTGGGCTTTTCCCCAGGTGGGCTTGTAATGCAAATACAGTGAGCTATAGTCCAGTCCAAAGATATGAACTAGTTGAGGATCATATCTACCCTTTCCAGGGAAGATAAAGGAGGAGGCAAAATTGTCAGTGTTTCATAGGACTAAAATAATTTAAATGTTCGATGACCGATAAATTGGAAAGTGGGATATCTACATAAAAGTGGAAAAATGCTTATATTTGGAAGAATAGCAAAGATGTTTAGATTTTATAGTCATATGCATAGAAACTCTTAAGCAATAAAGGATAAAATACATTTGAAACCCTGGAATAAAAAAGTGGAACATTAGTTTCTGTAAAAGTAAGCTTTTGAGTTAATGTCCCACCTAAAACAAAAAGACTGCTATTTTTAAAGATAGGTAGTAGGCCATATGTCTTAGTCCATTCAGGTGGCTATAACAAAATATAAATTGGGTAGCTTATAAGTAAGAGATTTGTTATAGTTCTAATAGAGTCTGACATGTTTAAAGTGCCTTCTGGTTTCTGTCTGGTGAGAGGCCACTACTGGTTTAGAGATAGGATCTGACTGTTCTTACATGATGGAAGGGCCTTGGACCTATTTTGTAAGAGCGCTGTTTTCATTAATGAGTGAATGCTCCACCCTCATGACTTAATCACTTCCAAACATACCACTTCCTAATACCATCACATTGATGATTAAGTTTCAAGATGAAGAGGGATGACAAACATTTTAGAACATAACAACCTACTTCTCCCTCAAGAAAATGTTGAGGCTGAAAAGACAGTGAGTGACAGTTTTAAAATGGCATAATGAAAGAGGTGAGCACCAACACAGTTTATGCTATATGCTGCAGATGCTACTCACTGGATAGAGAAATTCAAAGCCAGGTGGAAGTGATGAATTTTTACCTTGAGAAGTTAAAATGGGTTCCCACAGTGTTATACCTTCAGGAAAAAAAATCAGACCTAAACACCAACCCCCTTCCTCAAATGTAGAGACAGTGGCCTTGTCTATGAGCAGTACAATAAAGGAAAGGAAAAAATCTCTGACAGGCGGTCACAGACCAACCTTTAGTTGGGTCTAGGTAAATATAACTTGAGACCTGGCAATTAGAAACAAAAGAAGGCTCTTCATTATAACTTTTAACATAAAACATTTCTACGGGCAATATTCAGCAAGCAGTTTAAGATAATCTGGTATATATAGTTAAAAAATGTGAAAACCACTAGAAGGAACAGAACACATAGACTTGCCATCTTGAATTATCAGGTATATTTATCAAAACATCTGTACTTAAAGAATGGAAATCATACAGTCATACTCTTACCATATAATTAAATTAGAGCTTAATAATAAAGATACCAAGGCATTATAATTATATTAAGAAAGAAACAATCACATTCTAAATGAATCATGGTGTAAAGAAGAAAGTACTTTAAACAATGGCAATGAAGCACTGTATATCAAGACCAATGAGATGTGGCTTAAGCACTGCTTACAAAATTTTTTGTTTTAAACATTTTATTACAGAATAAATGCTGCCATTAATCCCCCTTGATACACTCCACCTTGTTTCAAAAACATTTATCCCTTTATTCTTGTTTTTATCCCCAAGTTTTATTTTTATTGGTACATATTCATAGTACATAATGATTACATTCTTCATGGAGAACAGTGCTTAGAAATTTATTGCCTAAAAAAATTGAGAAAATCAGAAGATCTGATAATACCCTAAGCACTATTTCAAGATGGTAAGACAAATCCTCAAAAAGCTAAGGGAAATAAAAGCAGATATTAATGAAATTTTAAAAAATACAGTATGGAGATTAACAAATCTGTATGGGTTTGATTGTTGTTTGTTTTGGAATACTGCATACTTAAGAGGCCTCTAGTGATTTTGATCAAGAAAAAAAAGTCAAAAATAGGAGCAATGTTAAATTTCCATCCCTGGACATACACTGATCTCTTTTTGGTACTGAGAGAACAAACTACTTGACTAAATTTCTTGAGTCAATATTTCTAAGAACAGCATTTAACAGACCAAGATGAGCCAAATCACAAAGAAACAGCTCATTTTGGTAAGATTGCAATATCTATAACCCATGAAGCTCACCAAATTACAGCAAGCATTGTTACTTTTATTTTTTTTTCTCCTACAAAATTCATTCTACAGGCTTGGAGAAACGTTTTTTTTTTTTTTTTGTTTTTTTTTTTTTGTCTTTGTTTTTTTTTTTGAGACCTTTGCCTTTTGCAACATTTTGAATAAAGTACCCATTCTCTTAGAATTTAAATGTCAGAATTCCTGACGTTTGATGTTATAAAATGCTATAGATGCAAACACCATAAGAAATTATATTACTGTTTTGTGATAATAACTTAGAAAATTTAGATAAATTCCTAGAAAAACATACCTTGTGACAGTGTGTTAAAAGTCTCACATCTTATGGAAGTGGACAGTACAGGAAAGATCATGGACTTCAATCCTCACTGAATTTTAAGGAGAATCAGTAAGAGGACAGGGGAAAGACAGCATGAAGGGAAAGCCTGAGTAGGTGGTAAGTATGAAAAACTCTTACATAGGAATGTTCATCTATTTCTATTAAAAATTTGTCTGCATATAAAGCATAGAAAGTAATTTCATCCACTTCACATATGGGATCTCTGGGAGATGAAACAGTACTGAATACTAGTCATGCAGTATAAGTGATTTTCCTTCATTGGATTAAAATATAAGAGAATTACCAGAGCAATACCTGAGGACCAGACAGCTGAGGAGAGAGTGGAGACCTGGAGGCTTGTCTACCTCAGGACCTTGACCGATTGGGGGTCCTGGGGCTGGGTAGACTTTCCATGGCTCTTCACTAATCTCAGTTAAAAGCAGTAGCCCAGAGACAAGGAGGAGAAAGTAGAATATTTTAAATTAATTTGTCTTCTCATTGAGGATCTTCCCTTTTAGATCTGGAAGTTCTTACCAGGCCATGTTTTTGCTCAGGAAGCATTTTGTATGAAACCTAAATAGAGAAGAAAACAGGTACAGTAGCCAAGAATGTAGTCTCTCCATCATGAAACCTCTTCATTTATACCCAGATGACCTTGGGGCGGTAACTAAATCTTCTCTTTTTATGTTTCTGTAT